TGCCCCGCTCCCCCTCTTCTGTCGGTGGTATAAAGCCGGCATCATGCTTCTTATCCAGCGGCTGGAAGAAATAGCCAGCCCCCTATTGGATATTTTAAATTGCAATAGCCAATAGCAGGTTGGCTATTGCCCCCACTGCCTGCTGTCAATCAGCAGAGGAGGACCTGAGGGAGAACTTTCTCCTTCAAGTCCCTCCTCTGCTGATTGACAGCAGGCAGGTGCAAAAGCCAGCTTGCTATTGGCTATTGCAAATTGAAATGGCCAATAGGAGGCTGGCTATTGCTCCCAGCCACTGCATGCTGTATTTACATTCAGCTGCCATTCCCCAGTGAAGTGGAAAGGTGACACTAGGGGTCTAATAGACACCCTAATGTTACCTTTAGAGAGAACCTGTCACCTCCAATGTGCTATCACATATGGGGCTTGTGAGCCCCCCCCATGCGATAGCAATGAAGGTAAAAAATCAAGTTAAATTAAAAAAAAAATACCCCCCAAAAAATTTAAAGTCCCCCGACCCCTGCAAACTTGCGCATACGAAAGGAAACACAAGTTGGGTGCACCTACGTATGAAAACGACGATTGTGCTACACATGTCGGGTATCTCTGCATGCGCCAGAGTGAGAGCAATAACTTTCCGGCCAATAGATATAGCTAACTCTAAACTGATGACTAGGCTTTTATTTATCTTAAAAGTTTTGGGTTATTTTATTGGCGTTTTACTATTCATATTTTAAATCCATGAAATTATTTTAAATGTCTAATATAATGCATATCATTTTAAAAAATATATCAAAAAAGGTTTCGGAAAGCATTTTTTGGTTTCAACCTGACAAATTCTGCTGCAGGATGTGTCTTGTGGTGCCATTCATTTCAATGGCATCCCAAAAGCGCCTCCCGCCTGCAGTGTGATCGCCCGCACTGGAATACACGGTACTGCAACACGATTGTAAAAAATGTGCATGCAGTTTTATTCTGAAGTATACTCTGTAACACTCAAGTTGTATATTTCATTTTAAATAAAAGATGTTTAATGCTTTTTTTTCTTTAACCGATTTAATCAAAACTATCGGCCAACTAATCGATTATGAAAGCTCTACTTTTTATAGTCCTTCAGGTTAGACATCTTGGTACAGGTTTGTTAATGCTGACGTTTAGTGCCACAGTTTTTGAATATTTGTTTTTGCAAGTTTTGTTAAGGGTTAAGGTTTGGGGTTGATTGATTTTTGTGATTTATGGGTTAAATTGAAAGTGAAAAATTATGATTTAGGATTGATTTTGTATTCTGCTTGTGTTTTTTTATTTTTTTGGGCTGGCTTTTGTGTATTGAACTAAGAAGAACAAATAGCTTTTTAGTTGCGCTGTAGCTTTACAGGTTTAGAACTGCAGATGAGTTGGCATGATATTTATCTAACATATGTTATAACATCTGTTTCTGTTGTAGTCAACAGGACTGGTAGAAGGACTGCAATAAATTAGACTAAAAGGAGCCTTGTACTTTTTTTGTTATTTTAAAAGGGGGAAACAAACTACATTTTGTCAATTCAGGTTTTCTAGACCTGTAAACCTTCATTAAAAATAAGTTGAAGTTGCACTGTGAATTTCTGAAATTGTAACAATAATTTTACAGAACTGTAGGCAAAAAAATGATGTTAAAAGCATAATTTAATTCTAGTTATGCTTTGAATATCTACTGAGTAGATAACCTAAGGGAGAAGGAAAGGCAGCATTCTGAGCCAGTCAACATTCTATTACGTTGGCCAGTTCCAGCCTTTCACAGAATGTTGCTTATGGGAGAAATCGGCACAAGGATGACCTCCTCAATGTGCTACTGCTCCTTCATGGTGCAGTTACAGGCTGGGGGAAGAAATACATCTTAGGGACTGTTTACACTACTGTGACTTTTGCCGTTCAGGGTGGTGCGATCTGCTGTTTCAGTGCATCTCAAAAAAAGGGTATGTTCTTAAATGTAATTTTAAGTTGACTGTTTTTTGGGGAAATAATCTTCATATTAATTTAAACCCAATTTCAGTTTTTAAGTTGGGTAAAAACATCAAAACAAAAGGTTCAAAGCCCCACTGTTTATTTTATTTAGAAAGCAGCTACAGCAAATGTAGTAAAAAGCCTGTCTCCTGCCAGCATGCTGCTGGGAAGGCCTGTTCTCTGTGTGGTAGCAGTGGTCTCTCTTCAGAGGTCTAACAATGCCCCCCACTGAGTCAGAGCTAGAATTCTTCAATAACTTTGAGAAGATAGTGTGTTCTACCTACCTCTGCTAAGAGGCCACCGGATAGAAATAGGGGAGTGGCTGTTGCTGATGCTCTTCTTCTTCTTCTTTTTTTTTTTTTTTTCTTATTTTACTACTGACTTAGTAGTTGACCCAGAACAAAAATGCATCCAACAAAAGTGTCAAACTTTTTGTATTTAATTTGGTGTCGGTGACATCCCAAGTTAGGCTAAAAGGGTCAGGATTCCAGTCTTTGTATGCAAAACAATGGCGCACAACCTTTTGACTCCCATCACATCTTTCACTCAAAATGCCCCTTAATTTTTCTGGTTCTATTCTTTGAAACAAGCTGGAAATATGGGCACTGCCATTGTTGACTTTATTCAGAAAATATTTGTTGCCTGGCTGTTATACTGACTTTGGTAGCTTCAATACTTCACTGTCCTGCATTGAGTATGCAAATAAGCAAAGCCAAAGTCCTTATCATATTTTTCATACACTTCAATGTGTTCATGGTACATGGGAAAGTTGCTTGTAGACATAACTAATCTACTCAATAATACCTGACCCTAGAACAGAGAACTCTTACATTTTATATTTCAACACTGAGCCTTGCTATTTATGCTAAACACTTCAGAAAAGAAACTCATTACATCCCCGACAATGCTCAGTTTATATGCCTTACACTATGGGTGCCCACAATTTTTTGTGTTTAACATCTATTTTTAAAATGACACGCTCAAGGAGATCTACCAAGAAAAAGCACACCAGTATTTTAAAAACAAACCCATTAAAATGCTTACCGGGACTTATGCATGTATCTTCCTATTGAATTAACCTAATCATTTAAAGCAGCATGGCAGCTTCTTGTTTGGGGGGGTGGGGGGGGATTTTGCCAACAGTGGTGAATGTATCTGTGGAGAGCATGCATGGCCAGTGAGATCCACCCTCCAGCAGACACAGATCATGTCCTCCAGTAACAAACCCAACCCCACCTGTTCTCTCTATGAGCAACTCCTCCTGCAGCCTCTCGCCTCTTTCTGTATACAGATCCACAAACCATTTCACTCTCAATTCCTCTGTGTGCAGCTCCTTGGGGCCTCTCAGCCATTTTCTCTGTGTTCAGCTTCTCAGACCATCTCGCCCCTGCCTTCTATGTGCAGCACTTACCAGCAGTAACTATCTGCTATCTCCTCATCCGGTTCTTCACCTGCGCTAGTGCTGCTGTGTCCCAACAGTCTTCAGACAGGCAGGAGCGGGCTGTATGTGTGCTGTAAGCTGGGAATTGCGGCCTGAATGTGTTAGATGCTTCAGTTGGCGAGGGGCAGGCCGAAGTGTCTAACGCTTCTGGAGGGGAAGGGGGGGATGCTTCGGAAGAGAAGGGGCTGGCCCAGGTGCTGGATGCTCCAGGAGGGGCGGGGTGAATGTGTCGGACGCTCCAGGAGGGGAGGGACGGATCGCCGTTCACGTCTGCAGCGTTTCACTAGCAAGCAGTAGGGAGCAGACCTGCGATCTACCAATGTTAGCTGTGCAAACAACTGGTGGATCTTGATTGACCTAATGGGCACCCCTGCCTTACACTGGCCAGAAAGTTGAAATCAAATGCAAAAAATATACTGATAAAATTTTAAATAAATATGGCTTTTTTTGGTTCATGAAGGGCTATCAAAATTCTGAAACTGTTGGGCTGTACTGCCGCCTTCAGGAGGTTTGAACACTGGCAAAAAGAAATAACTTTTATGAAGGCCCTACATCCCTGCCTCTAACTTTCATGCTTCAGTTTTTTTTTTGTTAGTGTCCTAGAAGTTTGGACACTTTTCCTCAGCTGTGCTGAAATGAAGTCTAATGTAGTTTTTGCTTGATTTTTATTTTTAATTAATTCAGGAGCCTTAACACACAACACAGATTTTTATTCTTTGGTGACTATTTAAGACGTCCATGACGCTTCTTGAGCTTGTCCCTACATAACCACTCTGCTGCACTTGATTTAGAAGGTGTTGTTTTAAACCTCATTAATGCAGTGCCTATCTCCTGCATTTGGAGGATCCGCCTGCTGCTGTAAGCCTTGGGACTTTTAGAGCTCCTGCATCTGCAAAGACCTTTTACACTTTATCCGCAATGTGATGACCTCCCTTTCACTCTGTGGGCTAGAAACACCCTGAATAATACTACTCTTTAGTTTGTGGCTACTCCTTATTTTGTGCACCTGTTTTCCAATGTTCCCTTAGGGATCTGTTTTGAGATTAGGAAACCCTGAACATGTTGTTTTTTAACCAATCTTATTGTTGGTCTATTGTTTCCTGACTGTTACAGAATTCCTGAATTTCGGGGCCCCTAATGGATGATAAAGAAAAATAAGATTCTTGTTCTTACTGTAAAATCTTTTGCACTTTTGACGATTTGCCAGTGTTCAAGCCTCCTGTAGACAGACAGTAGTATAACCCAAGTATGTTAGAATTCCCTTGACCTCCTAATGAACTCAATAGATTTTACGGTAAGTACAAAAATCTTATTTTATATTTATACTACTTTAGTTGAGTGAATTTACCAACTATGGCTTCAGCCTAGGCAGGACAATAAAATAGTTTGGAAACAAACTCCTTTAGGGTTAACATTTCTAATGTCACAAGCTTTCTGCACATGGATGTTCTTTTAAACTGACAGCATGGCAATTCTTTTGATACGCATTAAATATTTTGACAGGCATAAATGTATTTTACATACTTTCTTTAAAGCCCGTTGCTATACTGTGTAAGCTAACTGATCTGTCATTGTTTAGAACCGTGGATTTGCTGGACTGGAACAGTTTGATTGACAGCAGGACCAAGCTCTCCAAACTTCTTTTGGTGCCAAATGTGCAGGTACTTTATTCATTTTATTTAATGTATTTTAAATGTGGATGCGTAGGCATCAGTGGGGGAAATTTAAAAAAAGTTGAGCAGAATTAACCCTTTAGCAAACCCTGGATATTCAAAACCAAGTCCTTTTGTCCTTGCAGAACTTCCATAAGCACGCTTTGCATGTGAATTGGTCATACATTTAACCTAATTCAACATCAGAAAAAGCTAGCTTTCTGCGAGAAAAAAATAGTGCTTATAAAGTCGCAGGTAACAATTAAAGGAGAGGATGCTCATTCTTAGCGCAACTTAACTGAGCAGAAGCTCAGCTCACATACAACAGGAGCTTCTCTGATTTTTGTTTACGGTGCTGTCAGTCATCCTGATGTTCTGGACAGGTTACGCACTGATGTTAAATATTTCAGGATGGCACACAGTGGACTGTACACTATTGCTAAAAATTAGGTAAAGAGTTTGATATATGAGCGAGATTGGCATCAAATTGTATCAGCAAGAATTGCAGATCTCTGCATAAAAGTCTGGGCAAACTTTCTCATAAAACTTTGAGGACAGAAACCCGCAGTCAGTTTGGGAGTTTGTCACTCTTAGGCCCCATTTACATGTAGCGACCCCATTTACATGTAGCGACTTTGCGCATTTTTGCCGTGCGATATCGCGAGAAGTCGCCGGCTAATGATAGTCAATAGCTCCATGTCTTAGCTCCATGTCGCTCATCACGGTCGCAAGTCGCTTCTACAGGACCCTTTTTTCTGCGTATTTTGCTTTTTTTTCTATGGAGCCCGACGGAGAAGGTCGCGCTACCGTCGCTGGAACGTCGCCCCGAAAGTCGCGCTATCCTGGCCGCTGCAAAGGTATGTCGCTACATGTGAATGGGGCCTTATTCTACAGTAACAAGGGTTAACATAGCTGGTATTATGAAGCACAACACAAATGTGGCTACACACTGTCTGCTAGCTCCACTAGTCTATATCAGAGTCTGAGATAACTCCCTCTAACTAAGCACATATTGCTCGCCCCATCCAGTTGCCAAAACTTCTTACCCCAGAAAGTGCCACAGTCTTGACCTGTGGAAATTATACCGGTTGGTGCCAGGCAGTGAGTCCAACAGAGGACAACTTGGTTGTAGTTCCCTTGCTGTCCACCAGCATGGCATGCAACTATTGTGAAATATTTTGCAAGACTGTGAACCATTTGGATGTCGCTCTTTTGGGCTGTACCATCCACATGAGGAGAGAATGGTTTGTTATGAGTCAAAAACAACTACCTACAGGATAATACCATAATGCTTACAATGCCCATTTGATTGCTAGTCACTCCCACTCTATAATCCTTTAAATTTTCCCAGCAGGTGTCCGTTTACTGTTTAGATAGGCCATTGCATGATTTGTCTATATACTACTTGTGAAATAATGGCTCCTGTTCTCACTCTTGGAAAATAGTTTTTTGTTCAGAATTAATTTTCTAATCGGGGGCTATGAGCACACAAAAAAATATAAAATTTAAATTATGCAGCGCCCACAACAATCAATAAACGTGTCAATGTCACAATAAACTGAGTTAATCGTGAACCAAATTAAATATACAAATTTGAATCAATATATCATCAATGAATATAAAATACAATCAAAAAATACAATCAAAAAATATATATATATATGTATTAAACAAATCAAAAACATCCAACAATTAATGAATTTTGTGCCATTTAAATTCTTTCTTAAAAAACACCGTTTCCCTGGATCATTAATCCCACAGGGTCTGTGAAGCAGTTGAGTATTGGTGACAAACCAGCGTGAAAAATAATGTTAGTTAGTGGGATGTGTCGATAAAAAATATAGTGAAGAAAGTTCCGCACGTATCTCCTCAAAGGGTGCACTCACCGTGAGGTAGTGGCTGTGGTAAGCAGCCGGAAGTACTCAAACGAAAGCTCTCAAAGCCGCAGCATCCATCCAACGTCTCGCTACGGTCTGTGGTCCGCGGGTGATGTGTCTCCACGTTCATGGAAAAAAGGAGCCTTTCATTGCATAGTATTTTCCAACAAAGGGGCTTTATTTAAAATTACGTAAAAATGAAAAGCACGAACATCCAAATTGTTCGGCCAGTAAAAACAGTTCACAAACAGAATCCTGTATTCGGTCTGACGTGTAATTAGGCCCGCCCCTATGCATTTCATCGTCTTGACGTCTTCAGGGGGTTATGCAGGACCTGCATAACCCCCTGAAGACGACGAAACGGGGGGCCTGCATAACCCCCTGAAGACGTCAAGACGACGAAACACGCAGGGGCGGGCCTAATTACACGTCAGACCGAATACAGGATTCTGTTTGTGATATGCATACAAAGAAACCATCACAAACACATATACTGATATTATAAACACACGTTGACATGAACACTGGTATTGTATATAGTAACATTTTATTTTGAAGTATGAAATTTGGCAAGCTGCCCCCATGGGAGAACATTTTTGTCCAATGGCCCCTAAGTGAATTGTGACCCCTGCTCTACTCCTAGCTTTAATGCTGCATGGAAACATCAGCATCTTTTACATGCAGCGTTAAAGATTTCACCACGGAGGTGATAGAGATTTAATAGGATCTATTTAATAGACTGACAAGCAGTCGGTAAGCAAGTGGCTGCCTATTAAATAAAAACGTAAAAACGAAAAGCACGAACATCCAAATTGTTCGGCCAGTAAAAACAGTTCACAAACAGAATCCTGTATTCGGTCTGACGTGTAATTAGGCCCGCCCCTATGCATTTCATCGTCTTGACGTCTTCAGGGGGTTATGCAGGACCTGCATAACCCCCTGAAGACGACGAAACGGGGGGCCTGCATAACCCCCTGAAGACGTCAAGACGACGAAACACGCAGGGGCGGGCCTAATTACACGTCAGACCGAATACAGGATTCTGTTTGTGATATGCATACAAAGAAACCATCACAAACACATATACTGATATTATAAACACACGTTGACATGAACACTGGTATTGTATATAGTAACATTTTATTTTGAAGTATGAAATTTGGCAAGCTGCCCCCATGGGAGAACATTTTTGTCCAATGGCCCCTAAGTGAATTGTGACCCCTGCTCTACTCCTAGCTTTAATGCTGCATGGAAACATCAGCATCTTTTACATGCAGCGTTAAAGATTTCACCACGGAGGTGATAGAGATTTAATAGGATCTATTTAATAGACTGACAAGCAGTCGGTAAGCAAGTGGCTGCCTATTAAATAAATCCATATTGTATCACCTGCAGCTCTGCAATGATTAAAGGCTTTAACGTGGCATGAAAGATGCTGGTGTGTCCATGCAGTGTTAAAGCAAGAAGTAGGCCCCATTCACACTGCGCGATTTGCAAATTGCGCATTTGTCGTGTGATTTGCATTTTGCGCGATATCGCGCGCAAATGCTTGCATTGCAAAGAATGGAAAGGGTCCTGCTGTAGCGACGCACGACCCGCGACAGCAGGAACCTTTGTCCCATAAATAGCCGCGATATTGCGGGAATTACCGCGCGATAAATCGCTCAATGTGAACGGGGCTGTAGAGGAGTGGCACTGTCGGTTGAAAAGCCCCTCTCATTGATGGGGGGGGGGGGGTGGACGGGGGGGGGGG